TTTAGAAATGAGTTATATTACTCATGACTTATGAATTGATATGTTGATTTTAGGCTGAAAAGTGTACATGTAATACTGTTTTGTTATTTATTGAAGTTGGTGTTCTTTTGTGCTATGGGATTCATATAATTAGCCTAATCATTTTCTGCTGCTCAACTTATAAACGAGTACAAAAACCAGATTAATTTGTGTGGCTCCATGATTGGCGCTGGAACTAACAGAAAGTTACGTGTAGAACTATAATCTTTAAGTAGAGCATTTAAAGCAAAAATGGAGATTGATATTACAAAGAATTATGATTAAAGAAACCCTCTAACCAGGTCTTCTGCCAAAACAACACACCATATTAGTGATATAGCAAATGTTTCTAGAGGTGAATTTCTATAGCTTCGCTGCTTTTATTGTAGATGACTCCTTCCGTTGGCTTCTTCATCAATCTCTGAATCTCAAGAAAACAAAACAGTTGCATGGTGAGTAAGGAAATGATAGTTAAGAGGTTGGTTAGGGGCTTTACACACTCCTATTAGCATAAAGAATGAGGGGGGGGGGGGGGGAATAAAACATAAGACACACTATGTAGGAATCAGGAAAGTTTTACTTGAACACAATTCATTCATAAATGATCTTCTACAGATCTTCATGCAGTGTTTTATATATTGAGTATATAATTGACATGTCAAATTGTAGAACTGCATCATTTTAAAACCTATAATTCATTTTGTTATCTGGAATATTAATATCATAATTGATGTACGTAGAACTGCATCATTTTAAAACCTATAAGCCTATTGATTTTATATTTTGTATCTAATTATATCAAGTTTGTATTGAATTAGATGTCATAATTCAGACCATTCAGGCATGATAATGTAATTCCATTGACATTCTTTGAATTTTGTCGAAATTATAGACACATCTTTTACTTTTAAAACCTACACATACGTGCTTTTGCTAAAAAAAGGGCTCGGAAGAAATAAGTCAATCTGCTGACCTTATGTAAGGCATTATACTTTCACAGAAGTAACATGGTTGAGCAGCATGTCAACAATTTCTGCAGAAACCTTTGAAGCCGATGCTCGTAGATCATTGATCTTAGCTTCTGTTTCTTCTTCAAGCCTTTTCACAGTAGATCCAGCGTTCCCACTAGTCTATAAACACATAAGCAAGTAGGGAAAAAAGAAACAGAAAAATAATGATTCAGGTACTGAATTCTTAACCTTACGTGGTATTACAACAACAACAACAAGCCTTTATCCCACTAGGTGGGGTCGGTTACATAGATTGCAAGACGTCATTGTGCTCTATCATTTATCAAGCTTTTAGGAATATTATTAATTAAGAGATCGCGTTCAACAACTTTCAAGAGTGTTCTCTTAGGCCTTCCTCTACCTCTTTTAATCAGGCTCAAAGTTCCAAGTAAGAAGCTTATCATACATTTTCTTTAATCATTCACTTGACAGAATACTAATGTACAATATGTTACTTTTAAAGATCAACCTGTGAATTCTTTAATCTTTAGGGTTTGACCAATCCTTGTAAGGTTCGACAGTTTATATATCCTTGTAAGGTTCGACAGAATTTTATATTGTCGAAGGCCAAATACAACTCTTTTACCCAGGCTTGAAACCGCTATAAAACATAGTGAGCCTTTATGGTTTGACCCTTCAAATAAAATATGCAACGTGCTAAAAAAGACATTATTAAATATAGTGGAATCTGTGTATTTTCATAAAGCTCAAAATGGCTACGCTATCTATATTTTATAAATGGTACAGCACCTTGTGCATTTCACATTTTATATTAACAATACCTCGGAAAGATTCTTTTGGTATTCACTTTCCATGTGGGATTTGTACAGAGCTGCTTCTCTCTCTGCTTCCTCTTTTGCCTGCTTCAATCTTTGAGTTCTCACTGGAGAATTCACACAAACACATGGCATGCATGTCACATTTGCTAGGGAAAAGGAAGTAAAACCATGCAGGTTGTGATTCTGATTCATTACAAGTTCTATACTTGTCAACAGATGAATAGAAAATCCAATTGTGGTATGGAATAAATTAATTCAACTGATAAAAAGTAAAGCGTTGAGATTGTAGGATATTATTGAAACACGAAGTTTTTATGATAAAAGGCCATTGAATCTCACAGCTTCTTGCATTGGAAACAATGTGTTGAGCTTCTTGTTCTGCAGTTAACAGCATCTGAATTCCTCCTTGCCCTCTAAAGGGATCCATGGTATCTGGAAAAGGACACAAACATGAAGATGGGATCAAATATATAATTAGTAACAGAACCTATGAAATTAACAAGAGTTAATTATTGATAAACTGTTACCGAACCAAATATTAATCTTTATCCTATCAGAAACGTATTTGAGTAAAATTTCTAATGCCAGCAACGAAATTTCCTGACAGCTATTTGGTCTATGAGAATTCAGAATTTGCAATATAATCAACTGATTGAATTTAACATGGCCAAAAAGGGATTAAGTCAAATGTGGAAGTAAAAAAAATAAAGAAAGAAAGAAAAGTTGGATCATGAAAAGGGTGCTGATTTGAAAAAAAGAAATGATTTCATTACTTGAATGAAAAGCTGGTTATGATAAAATGGATAATAATGAGAAGAAGGACGATGCAAGTGTAGTTTGTTGAAGAGTATCCTCCAAAAACTCCTAAATGAGGGGTTTGCGATTGGCTTTGTTATCTACCAAGTCAAATATTACATTTAGAAGCATTTCATTTCATTTGTTTTTTTTTTTTTTTTACGTCAATGTAAGATGAATTAACTTTTTAATATATGTTCAAATTATAGGATCATTTATAAATTTTTACCGCCATCCCTTCATATTAAAAATTACATTTCTAAAGTACAATAATAATTACTTCAGACAAAAAAAAAATAATCCTATATTTGTCATTTGTATGGCATGTTTAACAATTATTACGTATGCATTTGGTTAATATAAAATAATTGGAAAATTGCACAATGATTAAATATCTATTACTATTGCAAAAGTGCTATTTCATACAGTTATCTTTCTTAGTTTCCAAAAAAAAAAATTGATAATAATTTATTTAGGAATGATAATACAGTTATTTAGGAATGATAAAATTTTATCCCATATTTGATCCACAACTTTGTGCGTATTTTCTTTGTTGCCCCATATTGGAGCTTGAATTATGGGTATTCTATTGTTTTGCATTCGTTAAGAGTTGTTTTGTAATAGACAACATTTTCATTGGTGAGCAACTTATTTCTAAGATTAAGAATGATTTTGGTGTTTGGATTGAAGGACGACAGCAAATTCTGCAACATTATGCCATGCAATTTTTATAAATGATATTTAATATACATAATAATAAGGGATACTAGAATAACGATTACAGGTCTATTAGCTTTTACAATGTTATTTACTTTTTTCCTCCAAAGTATAATGTAATTAACTTAAGTTGATATTAGAGCATGTTATCTCTCTTAATAGGCTATGAATGCCTCTCTTAATGATTTTGATATTACTCTATAGGACCAAAGTTGTGAAAGGATAAAAATACTTTTCATATGATATTATACTCTTTTAACAACTCTTCATTGGAAAAAAAAAAATCACATTCACATTTTAACAATAATCAATTCTCTTATTAACAATTTTAAAAAATTAACTTGGTAGTAGAGAAAAATAAGTGTTGTGATTTGGTGAACAAATTTCATTTTCATTCGAATAAGAACCAATTTTTTTATTAACAACTCTAAAAAATTAACTTCATAAGATGAATAAGAATTGTAATTCAATGAGCAAGTCTCCATTCAAGAAAAAATAAGTCCCATTTTCATTCTAAAAACAAACAATTCTTTCACTAACAACTACAAAATATTAATTTAGTAAAAGAATTATTATAATCTAAGAACAAGTCTCGATTTGAAAAAAAAAAAAAGTCTCATTCCTATTTTAATAATAATCAATTCTCATCACAACAAAAATACATCAAGGGTAGTTTTGTCTTTTCACAACAAATTTTGATTACATTAAATCTTTTGATCCTGCAAAGTAACACAAGAATCATTTCATCTTGCAGCATAATTAATTATTTTTGGGGGTCCTTGATTGTGATTTTCCCAATTCATATTCAAGTAAGTATGTGTTTTGAGGATTATGATTTTTATTTCAGGATGATTTAATTTTTTATATTAATTCTTTAATAATGAATTTTTCTACAAACTTTAGGGAAATTATTACATTTCCAGAGACAAAAATGTTATTTAAATAATTCAAATGAATTTTAATGTTATGTTATTTAATAAGTTACATTCTTTTTAACTAGACAAATTATGCTGAAAGTTTAAATCTCTACATGGGCTTTTCACTGAATAAATTTATATAATAACCACATTCCCCTAATCCAAATTCCAAATGTTTCAAAATGTCAAGGGAAAATGAAAAATAAGGACCTCATAAAAATATCAATATCAAGTTAGCATATCTTTATAAATAATATATCCCAAATTTAATACTCCTCCCATGTTTTAGTACTAAAATATTTAAAACAACTTAATTTAATATTAATCTTCTTATGAGGTACTTACTCGAGATTCTCCCAAATCTTGAGGCATCCCACCAAGTTCCTCCTTGTGGTGATGAATATGGCAATGGCTGGGATATGCATGTTCTATCCACTTGTACCCTTTATGCATCCTCCAAAATTCGAAGCTTCTTATTTAACCAAATATTTTATCCCAATCAAACCAGTCCCTCAGAAATTTCTATGATCTAACATTGAAATTTAACTCTAACTCATCCATCTTACCTAATCCTCTACATTGACAGAATGTGACTGGACCTTTTTTGTTTTTGGATAAAAGGACCATTTATATTAATCAAAGTCCAAGGTTAAAAGAAGGGGGTGGGGACAATCCCAGAATAATTTGTTTGGGAATTGGCTATTGTTGAAGATAGAAATAAAAACATTGGAAGAAAAAAGAGCCCAAGCGAAAGAGGCCCTGCGTGATGGGACAAACCGGTTTGTTCTTGATGAAGATTGACCCTTTAAATGTTACCACATAACAGTAGGAGCATTGGTGTTAATTGTCGAGACAGTATGTTTTGATTCTCAACAAGTGATAACGAGGAATTGTAGAGATCAGAGCAATATTCTATGAAAAGTCAGCTCAGGATAACAGTTCACAATGAACACAGTTGCAAAGGTCACTGTAAAGTACACCTGTAGATGCATGCACCTCAAAAGCCAGCCATGTGTCATAAGTGATGATCTTTGATGAGATGTAGATTATCATCGTCGCAATTGCCTCTGTAGAGAGAGAGAGAAGGGGGGGTTAAATTTAAAAACCATTTGTTAGGTGAAAAGTACTCATGATGGACTAGAATAACTTTTTACAATAAGATTTAGGGAGAATTACTTTGAAGCTCCACACAACAAAATTAAATACTATAAGGTCTATTGACAATTGAGCAAAGGCAAATGACACCTAAATGTGTTGTCATTTTCCTTTGTTAAGCTGTTAATGGACTTTGTAGTATTTAAATGCTTTGCATGAGACTTATGTGCAATTCTCTCTGAAGAATTAGTTAGTAATTTTGGCCTCTTGTGAAAGATGGTCAAATGACAAATAGAATCTAAGGATTCACAATAATAAAATCTCATTGCATGAATATGCAAAATAATATGATTCATATACAGAAATAATTCTGAGCATGTAGCAGATGTTAAACATACTCTTGGAGCATTGTTGACTAATTGTGGACGTCTGTCAGCCACTCTCTCTGGGTCTGGTATCAACTCTGGACTATCATGCTTACAAAATGCCTGCAAAGCTCTTCTAATAAATGGGCGAACAATATTCACCTCCATTGCCGACAAATTCTTAATCTGCAATATCCCAAAAGTCACAAGCATGCTTGAGCATAAACATAACTAGAAAATCAATAAGAACACATGTCCCTTGTGTGTGAACTGTTTATACCAAAAATGACAACGAAACGCCAAACGTCCATCCTCCATTTACAGCATAAAATTGCATGGCTGAATAGAAAAGGCATGCCGTGTAGATTTTTGAAAGGGGATAAAGTCTTAATTAGCCAGTTTCAGGCTTGAGTCTTGCGAAAAAAATCATGTTAAGAGAGCTTCCTCCCAATTGCGGCCTGACTAGAATTAAATTTGGATTAATCGGAAATACCAGAAACTCTAAATAGGTGTTTTCATTTAACTTCTACGTTGTGTAAAATGCATGAAAACTATGAACTAAATATTAAAATTTGGCATATATTACAAGCACGATTTTTTGTCCACATCTTTTCTTCATCTTTCATATTTGTGTTCTCATAATCCGTGAGGAGTAATTTCCTTGGATAGGTCGATTGAGAGAGTGTCCCGAGAATTCGTTTGGAATTTTAACAAAAAAACATTCAAATAGATTAAAAAAAAACTTACCTTGACGGCAATTGTACGGCCATTGAATGCCTCTAAGTCAGTCCTTACTTTATGAAATCTTACATCTCGTATGTCCTCAATTAGAGACCTCACCTTAAAAAAGGATATAAATCAGACCAAGAAGAAACGCTTGGCACAATTGCAGAAGGTGAAAGATTCTTAAACTAACCATATATACATCAGGAATGTCATCACGTGCACTAAAATCCACAAATATATTAGTTAGTCACTTAGAAGTAAAAACGTAATAAGTTAACGTCATTAAACTTACTGATCAAAGAGAAGTCTTGAGATTTCTACATAATGAAATGGTAATTTTTCAGACATTTCCTGAGATTCTCGCTCAGCCTCCAGAACTTGAGTTAAATTATCTATTCACAAAGCAAAGGTGTGGGAAACATTAAAATTTCTCCTATCCTTTCGCTTCGCAATAGTGTAAAAATCATATTCACAACAAATTCCCACATTCCAATAGATCATAGTTAAAACAAAAATTTTTGAGACTATCCAAAGAAGCAAAATGTTAGAATAAACCAAGTTTTGCATATATGAATATACAGAAATCAAAGCATGCTACACAAGCTTGCAGTTGATAAATAAATAAATAAAAAAAAAAGGATTCACTAATGTGATTCAGAAGGAAAGTTGAGAAACTGAAAGCAGAAACACATAAAACAGAAGAATGAAATGGCATATGATCAAAATCTATCTCGATGGTACTTATTCTTAGAAGCTATAGTAGACCAATAACTTCAGTAATTTTCATTAGACATGCATACAAAGACAAAATAAACACTCAAATTCAAGAAAACATAGTAATGCAAGTTGGAACCAATAGACCTATAGCCCGTTCAGGTCATGTCATGAATATCAACTCCGCTTATAGACCATACATCAAGCATTCTTACTCAAAAGTAAAAATATTATTTATTCAACTAAGTGCAAAATACCAGTACAATAGTATTCTGCATAAGAATGCTTCCCTGGGACACTTAGACCCTCAAAAATATGTACCCCTTCTATATTTCACAGAGCCACTATCAACTTTGCGATAGCATGCCTTGTTTTCAAACATTTGATAATTTAGAAGAATGTATTGTTGATCATTTGTTTTCTGCAAGAAAATACAGTGAAACATTGCATATTATCCAAACTAATGGCTGAGCTTTTCTTTGGTTACTTTGGTAAGAAATTACGCAATCAGTTTTAAAATTAATTCATATTTTTCTGACTAAAAAAATCCAACGCCACACAAGGCTATGACATGAAAGTTTTGGGAACATAAATAACAGCACATAGAGGGAAATATTCAAAAACAATTCAAAGGCTTGGAAATATCGAAGGCAAGGAAACATATCCATAACATTCAACTGGGATAAAGGCATTAGAATCTAGAAATATCAAGATCCATTAGAATAGAACTTGTCCTTTCCAAAGACAGTTTATGATTTTCCTAACATGTAATTGTGACATCAGGACTTCAATGGCGAACATATATAGATCTTAAGGAAATCTCAATTATAGACCTCCTTCCTCTCTTTCCCTTTTACCCCACTTTTATGAGTCCTTCCGTAACCAAAGTAAAGAATGAAATATCATCATTAAAATGAACTAGAAAAGTTAATAGACAAGAAATAAATGAAGCTCACCAACTGACATCCATTCAGGAGGGCGAATAGAGCACTTTCCTCTCTTCTTCAAAGCCACAGCCAACCACAATGGCACTTGAGTAGCTATTTGTGGAGCAAACGGACCAAAATCTCCCTGCCATTTTTACAGAAATCAAGTTGATATGCTCAATGTTATAACATCTCAAAAAGTTGTCTTTTCTGCTTCTCAGAGAGCAGGAAGAGCATAAGCTACAACTAGCACTTACACTTATCAGATTGAGAGCATCCATTTTGAGATTGGGTACGATCTCAACCATGTCATCCTCCGCCACAAATTCAAGCTTGGAAAAAAAATCATATCCATAATTTATTGTCAGCAGCTAAATTAGACCAAAGCATGATGGAATTCTTTAACAATTCAAGTATAGATACCTCTTCGGCTGAAAACAGAGAGAGGTGAGGATCAGATTGCCCAGCCATCTCTTCTTAATCCACAAGGGTTAGGCTCTTCTGGGCGCACTTGCTACCAAATCAATTTCGCTCTCGCATCAGTAACAGATTACTCAGAAAACTAAAACTCAGCTAAAGGATCATGATTACCTTTAAGAAATTTCCAATTGCTTACTTTGTCTTCCCTATCTGCTTCGTTCTGATTTTTCGCTTCTGCTGCTTCTCGCCGTCTTCTTCGCTGATCTTTTTTAGCCTCCTCCTTTATTTCTCCAAGAATAAACCCCAAAGACCACCCAATTTCCTCTGGATATGGCAGTGAATCACAGTGCCCAGGTTCTCTTTTCCATTCTTATGCGCAAGCTTTGGAGAATTTTTCCTCTTAATCATGGCGGGAATTTCCTTTTCCTTTTCCTTTTTTGTTTTCGGCCTGCAGCTGAACTCATGGCGGGAATTGACAAAAATATTAAATATTAGAGCAAAGAATATAGTGCGGCCCATTTAAACCAAATATTTTAGGTCCGGGTCAGAAAATTTTAACGTAATCAACTCAAAAGTCTTTTAATTGAATTTTGTTTGGGAGAATTACAAACAAATTTCACATAAATAAATTAATTATTACAAAGTCTATTGATAATTGAATTAAATTATATTGGCAATTAATTATGTTGTTAATGCAGTTTAATTTTATTGTTAATAGACCTTATAATATTTAATTTTCTTGTATGAGATATCAATGTAATTCTTCCCTTTTGTTTTACTCTTAAAAAAGAAAATTTTTAATTTATAAGTTGAATTTAGATTTTATAATATATTTTTATGTTTTAAAATTAAAATTCATATTACTTATTTTTAATTCTTCAACATTATAATTTGTGATTTAGAAAAAGAATACTCTCTCTGTTATTTTTAATTAAAATTAAAATTCATATTACTTGTTTTTAATTCTTCAACATTATAATTTGTGATTTAGAAAAAGAATACTCTCTCTGTTTAAAATTGTAAGATATCTTTAATTAAATCTTACCCCCTAAAAAAGTAGTCACCTACTTTTAAACTAACATTATCTTTTTAAATTTGTTTCTATTAAACACCCTACAATAAATATAAAGTCATTATCAATAGGGACACTTTTGAAAAAAAAATAATAATTACATCTTAAAAGATTAAAAATGCTTTATATTTTTTAACATTCAATTTTTTAAAAAATACCTTACATTTTTTAACGAAAGAAGTATGCTATATTATGATGCATGAATTAAAAAAGACTTAAACTTGCTGGCACGGCCTCGAGTCATCAAATAAAGGCTAAACTTTAAAAATGATTAATTTTAAGATAATTGAACTTAAAAACTTAAGCTCATAGAATCCATATGGACTCAACCTGCCCATTTCACTGCTCTAGAAAAGATATATCTTTATTTTTTTAATTATTAAATATATAAATTTTAATTTTCAATGAATACCAACAAAGTTAATATGTTAGTGATGCAAAGCATGTATCTTACCAACTAATTCTGTTACAAATTAATTTTTATTTTTAGAATAGTTAGGCATGGCATAAGGTATTCGTTTTTTTTTTTTTTTTTGCCATTGAAAATAAAGTTGGTAATTCCAGCCACCCAAAATAAACATTAAAAAATTTAGAGCTAAACTTGGAAAAATCTTGCAGCCCCAAAACCACCAAGTTGAAAAGGCAAACTAGGGAGGAAAAAACAACAAAAAAACAGAATAATAGAGTTGAGATCAGCGAATTAACTTTGCCTTAAAGATCATGCATTATTAGTGCTCATTAAAAAGCATACTTGCTTCTTAGATTTTACAGAATGACTCGTTACATAAATTGCAACAGAAGCAGCAGGTTACCAAGTGCAGAAGAACAAACAAAAAGTATGTCATGACTCCAGATTTGGTGAAAACAAAAAAACAAGTAAAAACAAATGCATTATTTTGCTCAAGCGATCAATGAACTCAACTCAACCTTCAACAAGTGTCATCAAATAGCCTAATTTTATAATTATACAAAATACATGTAAATAATACAAAGGAAAAGCACCAAGGCAATAGTTTTAATATAAACTTTCTCCTATATTCTGCAGCCTTAATTTGAAAAGATTGATACAAGGAGGAGAAGAAAGAAATACATCTCAAAATTATGAAACTATCAGAGCTAAGCAGTTGGGGCATGATAAGAAGGTAAGCAGAAGAATCTATCAATTTCCTTCATTTACATCAAAGGATCAATGTTCTTATGGAACATAGAGCAGTCGTGTCTACAAATGAAACATCACAAACTCTAGAATAATTTCGGACGTTGGATTGCTGCCAAACGTTGAAATTGTTCTAGATGGTTTGCAGATCTGTCTGGTGATACTCAAGGTTGCGGAGAACAATTCTCGCAAATATTTTTGCTTCGAGCGGAGCAGTTGCCGAGGCAGCTGCCCCACGAAGAACTCTTGCTGCACATGCGTTCTGCATCAGGCTAGCATGGTGCATGGCGTGTCGTCCACCAGGAATTGTAAACTGCATTTGAAAGATTAACACAAGAAATTTAATGCTTGTTCAGATCAAAGAAACAAAAATACTGACAAAAATTCAAGGACAAGATCGATATGGATGCTATTGACACAAAAATTCAAGAGTGTTTGACTGGTTGATACAGGCATGAAGTATTTCTTAAGGTATTTGTTTTATCAATGAGAATACAAAATAGTAAGAGGAAAGAGACCAAGATAACGATTTGAGATGAGGCAAAGATGGGATACAAAAAGCCTGAGGATAGTAGTTACCTGTAGAAGAGCAAATGCAGCACAAGCTTTTAGTATAGATGATGGATTTCGTAGCATAGCAACAAATCTTCCAATTTCAGAACCACTAAGAATCAATCGATAAAACAGCTCATTAACAACTATTAGTAAATCTCCAAAACAGAAGTTCAATAGAGGCGTGCATTTATTCATCACGTGGTATTTTAAAAAGTACGCATGCATGAACTTAAAAGTGGGAGTTATTCTTTTTCCTTCTCTCTCTCTTTTTTTTATTCTTAAAAAAGAGGCCATTTTTTTTTTTTGGGTAGCAACAATGTGAGAGAAAGAAACCTGCATCTAAGATGTCCTGCTTCTTGGATTCGCGCGCCTTCAGAAACTTGAGCCAGTGCTGCCGGGGCTGACGATGTAGCAGCAACAGCAAATGCTTGCGGATCAGAAAACATAAGGATGAAAGCTTCAATGTGTTTCAAAGCCATCCTTCTAGCTCCATCCAAGCTCACACTCTTGGAGACGCTTTCTGATGAGGTTCCTACCAAAGCAAATTCATCCATTCTGCACAACGCATCATAAGGTTCAATTGAAATGGATGAAAACTTTCTTGAAATGGCGGACAATATAATTATATTGTTAACTTTGCATAGATAATACCTATTCATTAAAAATAATCTTACTAATCAATCTTGAGCTCTGGAGAATAGATAGCATAATGCCAGATTCAAAAGTAAAAAAGAACCTTGGTTTTTAACAATATGATGAAACCCCGGCAATTTGTTCATGTATACTTTGTTTATGCAAATTCAAGACAGTCCACATCAATTTGCACATTGTAGCAATTCTGCAGTGACGACTTCACATATCTATTCTTGTTATTTCTACAATGAGTTCATGGGAGAAAACAACTGAGGGGGGGGGGGGGGAGACCCAAAAAATCACAACAGTGATATATCTCACATGGTGAAGATTCCCACCAACTCCGCCTATGTTTATAGCCGGTCTCAAGACCGAGTAAAGGAGGAGGGTTGTGTTAGGCCATCAACAGCCAATGTAAAACTTTGTTGAATCTATCATGAACATGGACAATAGACATTATGATGGTAACGCGTTGCATGGCTTGATAAGATTCCAGATAACGTGCCTATAAAGACTTATTCAAGAAGGAAGCATCAAAAGATAAAATAGGATAAATTAAGATAATTAAGATAGATGATTTGATTCAGTCTTTTATTTAGTATTTTATTTGGTATTTTCCTCTATTTAGTTTTTATTCAGATTTCCCTAGATTTTATTTAGTTGTTTAGATTTGATTCAGCATTTTAGATATTTGAATTTTTTAGTATTTTGGATTTTAAGAGAATCTATCTAGTTATCCAGTTATCTAGATTTTATTTAATATTTTATTGTATTTAGCTTTATAAATATGACTAGCAACTTAGAAGCTAGCATATCAGAATTAATGAAACAGTCTTTCAAACCCTTTGGAGATTCTTCTAAGTGTGGCTATTAAGAGGAGTATAGAACGAGATTCTTGCTTCATACCCTCCTAATAGATTTATTTCTCTTATTCTATTTTACTATCGTGAGCACCTACCAATTTGGCATCAAAGCCATGGTCATTACACGTGCTGGTCAAGAGACCAACCCTACCGATAACCCATCCAACGTCGCCTCAAAAATCCTAACTTGCTTGCACACGATCTGGCTCTTATCTCCTCCAAATTAGAGAAACTCGACATATTACAAGAAAAGATAGAAGCCTTAGAAGCATCAGCAACACAAAGAAGTAGAAGGACTCCAGAAAGCCGATACAGACGCCGTAACTGGGATGAGGAAAGTGAAGAAGAATTCGATTATTACAAGAGGGGGTCACGTCCGCCTCAACCCAAAATTGATTTTCCCAACTTCAGCGGGGGTGATCCTCGGGGATGGATTCTTAAAGCTGAAAAAAATTTTCAGTATTATCATACCCCAAAAGAATCAAAGGTGGATATAGCATCTATGTCATTAGAAGGAGATGCTTTGGATTTGTTCTCTTGGTTAAATTCAGAACACACCTTACTATATTGGGATGAGTTAGTGAAGGCGCTGCAGGAGAACTATGGACCACTTGAATACCAGAACCCGAACGAATATTTGTGCAGAATCAAGCAAGACGGCTCTGTACAAGAATATCGACAGGAATTTGCAAGGCGCGTCGCCAGAGTAAAAAACTGGCCTGAACACTGCCTTCTCGGTGTGTTTCTCAGTGGGCTAAAGGAGAAGCTCCGATCAGACGTTCGAATTCACAAGCCCAGGAGTGTATATCGTGCGCTCAGCCTTGCTCTGGAATTCGAAGGGAAGATGACTTCGAACGGACCCAAACTGAATCCGGGTCAAAACCCGACCCGACCTTATTATGGGTCCTTAGCCACTGCACGTGACTCGAATCAACCATCGAGGAGGTCAGCTGGATTCTCACCGGCGAACACGAGCCCGAACGCGTACAGGACCCCGACGCATACTGCGTCACCCTCGCCCTCCCTTACTCCAACAAATACACATCCTTCTAAGCTTCCTCCAGGCGAGATCGAACATCAGAGAAGGAGAGATAAAGGACTGTGCTTCCGCTGTGGGGAGCAGTTCCAGCCTGGGCATCGATGTAGGGGTTCCTTCTCTCTAATGGAGATCACCGAGGAAGGAGAGGAGATTTGTCCTCCCCTTGATGACGTCGCGCTTGAAGAAACAGAACCTGAGGGAGCCGAAATTTCACTAAATGCCATCCTGGGAAATAATTCTGGCTCAGCAATGAAATTAAGTGGCAGATTAGGTTCTAGACAGGTGTTATTATTGGTGGATAGTAGATCCACCCATAATTTTATTTCTGATGCATTGGTTCAAGAGCTTCATCAACCTACCCAAGCTATTTCTACTTTTGGGGTCCAAATAGGTGATAGTAGTATTGTGCGATGCAATCGAGTCTGCAAAATATTGAAGTAGAATTGATGGGGTTAACAATTAAAGAAGATATTTTCCCCTTCACTCTAGGGGGTGCTGATCTAGTTCTCGGTATTAAGTGGCTAGCATCTCTCAATACAGTGCAAGCGAATTGGAATCAACTCTTCATGATTTTCTAGGTGAATGGCAAGAGGTATAAGTTACAAGGGGTTCCTAATGCTGCTAAAGGTGCTCAATTTAATTCAATGCAAGCTTCCGCTGACCCTAAACCTTCCCAATATTTCAAACCAGAACCTTTATTTGCCACATTTCCTGCCGTCTTTGAAGAACCCATAAATTTGCCACCATTCCGAAATCACTCCCATACTATTACCCTACAACCAGGAGCCAACCCACCCAATTTACGACCCTATCGATATCCTCATTATCAAAAAACTGAGATTGAGAAACAAGTCGAAGAATTACTACAAAAGGGATTTATTCGACCCAGTTCCGGTCCATTTGCCAGCCCAGTCTTACTGGTTGCAAAGAAAGACGAGTCATGGCGCTTCTGCATAGATTACCGAAAATTGAATAGTATCACCATCCCAAACAAGTACCCAATCCCCAACATTGATGAGTTATTAGATGAGTTACACGGGGCAACTTATTTCTCCAAACTGGATCTACGATCGGGATACCACCAAATTCGGATGTCACCTGATGATATTTACAAAACAGCGTTTCGAACTCACTCCGGGCACTATGAGTTCACAGTCATGCCTTTCGGCTTAACTAATGCACCAGCTACCTTTCAAGCAATCATGAACGATTTATTTCGTCCTTATTTACGAAAATTTGTACTGGTCTTTTTTGATGACATCTTGATCTACAGTTCATCTCTTCAACAACACCAAGAGCATCTACACACCGTATTCCAGACTTTACAGAAAATGTATTCTGTGTACATTTAAAAAAATGCTTCATTGGTCGACCAAGAGTTCCCTTTTTAGGACACAACATTTCTGCCCAAGGGGTTGAAGTTGAGGCTGGAAAAGTAGAGGCAGTACGAGAATGGCCTGTCCCGAAGAATGTAAAGGAGTTACGTGGATTCTTAGGCCTTGCAGGATATTACAGACGTTTTGTGAAGAATTTTGGGATTATTGCATGACCACTCACTGAGTTGACTAAGAAAGATGCCTTCTTATGGTCTGAACTAGCTCAGCAGGCTTTTAATCGCCTTAAACTTGCATTGATGACAGCACCGGTCTTACAGTTACCAAACTTTGAGGAGGAATTTGTAGTTGAATGCGATGCGTCCACAGAAGGTATTGGAGCTATACTCCTACAAAACAACCATCCCATTGCTTACTTAAGTAAAGGATTTTCATTCTCTAATCGCTTCAAATCCACTTATGATCGAGAATTCCTAGCGTTAGTTCTTGCAGTACAAAAATGGCGCCATTACCTCCTTGGGAGGCATTTTTTTGTCAGAACAGATCATGCTAGTCTGCAATATTTGCTCCAACAATGCGTCACCACCAACACCCAACAAAGGCTAATCATCAAGCTTTTACCATTTAATTTTACTATTATACACAAGGCAGGAGCAGAAAATAAGGGAGCTGATGCATTATCACGACGACCCCAGCATGCAGATTTTTTTCAGTTGGCAGTCCCTTTCGCTACAGAGCTTTATGACCTTACCTCTAAATTAGCATTAGATCCCTTCACTAAGGAAATAATGCAGGACATACAGAAAGATCCGTCGTCTCGACCTGGATTTCACTTGGTTGATCAAAAACTCTTTTATGACCACAAAGTAGTCATTCCTTACTCATCCCAACTACGACCGAAGTTACTAGCAGAAGCCCACTCGACTGCAGTTGGGGGACACAGTGGTTTTCTTAAAACATTCAAGCGACTATCAGAGAACTTTTATTGGCCTACTATGAAGGCCGATGTAAAGGCATATGTGAGGCATTGTGCCACTTGTCAGCAAAATAAGTATCAGACTCTGGCACCAGCAGGACTTTTGCAACCTTTATCTATACCCTCTCAAATTTGGGAGGATATCTCACTGGATTTTATCACTAGTCTCCCTATGTCAGGAGGTTTTGAGGTCATCTTGGTAGTAGTTGATCGTTTGAGTAAGTATGCCCATTTTCTTGCTCTTGCGCATCCATATACCGCCAAAAAAGTGGCCACCATCTTTTGTGAGGAAATTGTCAGGTTACATGGGGTGCCTCGCTCAATAGTATCTGATAGGGACCCTCTCTTCATGAGCTCTTTTTGGCAAGAATTATTCAGATTAAGCCAGACCAAATTAAAAATGAGTACTGCCTACCATCCCCAAACTGATGGTCAGACAGAGGTGGTCAACCGCTGCCTTGAAGCCTATCTTCGATGTTTTGCACATGAGCAACCTAAGTCATGGCACAAGTTTCTTTGCTGGGCTGAATATTCCTATAACACAGGTCATCATACATCAACCAAACAGTCTCCTTTTAAGCTAGTATATGGAAGAGATCCTCCGCCCTTGTGTCCTTATGTCAGGGGTGAAACCATTATCGCTGAATTGGAAGATCAACTAGAAACTAGAGATGCAATGCTCAAACTCTTGAAGGACGATTTATACAAGGTTCAGGACCGGATGAAGGCTTATGCTGACAAACGTCGGAGAGAAGTTGAGTATGCCATGGATGATGTAGTGTGGCTACGAGTACAGCCCTTTCACCAACAATCACTGACCAAGAGAAAGTTTGAAAAATTATCACCTCGCTTTTTTGGTCCTTACAAGATTATTTGAAGGATTGGAAAGGTGGCCTATGAGTTGGAACTTCCTGCAGATGCTCGTATTCATCCTATTTTTCATGTATCTCTCTTACGCCCAGCATATGGGATGGCGGCGCCAACTACACCAGCTTCTTTACCACTATCAGCTGATTTTGAGTTACACGTGAGGCCCCATCAAGTCTTAGATCATCGTTGGACACGTCATCATTCGCTGGAGCTATTGGTGGAATGGCATGGGCGACCTATGGAGGAAGCAAGTTGGGAGGACTACGACCTCCTGCGTGTTCAATTCCCCTCTTTTCAACTTGAGGACAAGTTGAGTTTTCAAGGGCGGGGTAATGATAAGATTCTAGATAACGTGCCTATAAAGACTTATTCAAGAAGGAAGCATCAAAAGATAAAATAGGATAAATTAAGATAATTAAGATAGATGATTTGATTCAGTCTTTTATTTAGTATTTTATTTGGTATTTTCCTCTATTTAGTTTTTATTCAGATTTCCCTAGATTTTATTTAGTTGTTTAGATTTGTTCAGCATTTTAGATATTTGGATTTTTTAGTATTTTGGATTTTAGGAGAATCTATCTAGTTATCCATTATCTAGATTTTATTTAATATTTTATTGTATTTAGCTTTATAAATATGACTAGCAACTTAGAAGCTAGCATATTAGAATTAATGAAACAGTCTTTCAAACCCTTTGGAGATTCTCCTAAGCGTGGCTATTACGAGGAGTATAGAACGAGATTCTTGTTTCATACCCTCCTAATAGATTTATTTCTCTTATTCTATTTTACTATCGTGAGCACCTACCATGGTTCGAGTACAGTGATAAGTGAGTTAGAGCCGCTGCATCGGCGCCCGGATGTAGTGTTAAATGAGCAAGGGCTATCGCATCATTCTGGACGTGCGAGGCTAAAGAGGTTAGTCCATGAGAGCAAAATTAGATTTGGTACTTGGAATGTTGGGACATTGAATTGTAAATCTGTAGAGGTTGTAGGGGTTATGATTCAAAGGAAAATCAATATCCTTTTCCTACAAGAAACAAAATGGCGTGGAAAAGAAGCTAAGGATATTTAAAGTTTCAAACTTTAGTATACAGGAAAAGTAAGCGCACGCAATAGAGTAGGCATCATTATGGATAAGGAGTGGAAGAAGAATGTTGTAGAAGTTAGCAGAATTGGAGACAGAATTATTTCCTTAAAAATGATAATTGGACGTGAGACTGTTAATATTGCTAGCGCTTATACGCCTCAAGTCAGGACAGAAGCCAATCTTAAGGAATTATTTTGGGAGGATCTGGAGGGGTTGATTCGACACATACCACAGAGTGAAAAGATTTTTATTAGAGGAGACTTTAATGGGCATATTGGGAGGGAGGCTGGTCAGTATGCAAGGGTGCATGGTGGTTTTGGTTTTTGAGAGCTAAACAATGAAGGACAAACTCTTCTTGATTTTTCATTGGCGTATGATTTTAAGATTGCCAACACTTGTTTCAAAAAGAGAGATGAGCATCTCATCACTTACAAAAGTGGAGCCTTAAGGTCACAGATTGATTTTCTTTTAGTTAGGAACACATATAGAAGACTCTGTAAAAATTGCAAGGTGATCCCCGGGGATGCTGTAATGACACAACATAGGGTCCTAGTCCTTGATGTGTATATTATGAGTAAAATTCATAAACGTCAACAAGCAGTAGCACCAAGGATTAGGTGGTGGCAATTAAAAGGTGAGAAGCAAGATATTTTCAAACGAAATGTTTTGGACAAAAGAATTTGGGAATCTCAAGAAAGTGCTAACATCATGTGGGAGGATATGGCTAAAAAGATATGGAAAGTTGCAAAAGTAGTTTTGGGAGAATCAAAAGGTTCTAGTTCGAGAGATAAGAAATATTGGTAGTGGAATAATAGTGTACAAGAAAAAATTAAGCATAAGAAAAACTATTTTAAAGCCATACATTTATGTAACAATGAGGAAAATTGGGAGAGGTACCGTATGGCTAAGAAGGAAACTAAAAAAGCTGTGGGTGAAGCTCGTTCTAAAGCTTTTGAAGAATTTTATAAGAGCCTTTAGACGAAGGAAGGAGAATGAAACATTTATAAGATTGCTAAGAGTAGGAAAAAAAATCAAGAGACTTAGAATAGATAAGGTGTATTAAGGATGAAGAGGGAAGAATTTTAGTTATAGATGATGAAATTAAAAATAGATGGGAGACTTACTTTTCCAAACTTTTCAATGATGGAGAGGGTTCATCTAGTAACTTGAGGGATTTAGTAACCGGTAAAGGAGAACAAAATTTGTCATTCTATTGAATAATACGTGATAAGGAGGTAAATGAAGTTCTTAAGAAAATGGCAAATGGTAGAGCCAACGGACCTGATTGTATATCTATTGAAGTGTGGAAATGTTTAGGTGAAGAAGGGTTGAGATGGTTAACTAAGTTATTTAATATGATTTTACGGTCCAAGAAAATGCCTGATGAGTGGAGGAGAAATACATTAATTTCTATTTATAAGAATAAATGGAATATTCAGAATTGTACTAACTATAGAAGGACTAAACTCATGAGCCACACAATGAAATTGTGAGAGAAAGTAATTGAGCACAGGTTGAGATTGGAGACAAGGATATCTGAGAATTAGTTTGGTTTTATGCCAGGTGGATCGACTATAGAGGCGATTTATCTACTAAGAGGATTAATAGAAAAGTATCGTTATAAAGATAAAGACTTACACATGGTTTTTATTGATTTGAAAAAAAAGCTTATGACCGTATACCAAGAGAAGTGCTTTGGAAAGCGTTAGAAAAAAAAGGGAGTACGGATTGCTTATATTAAAGCGATACAAGATATGTATGAGGGGGTAAAAACTAGTATAAGAACGCCTAGTAGTCAAACAAAAGATTTTCTTATAAAGATTGGACTATATCAGGGATCATCTTTGAGTTCTTATCTATTCAACTTGATCCTAAATGTTTTGACGGAACATATTCAAAAGGAAATTTCTAAATGTATGCTCTTCGCGGATGATATAGTTCTTATAGCAGAGACAAGAGAAGAGGTTAATTTCAAATTTGAGTTATGAAGTAGGACTTTGGAATAGAAAGGTTTCCGTCTGAGTAGGAGTAAGACGGAATATTTATATTGTAAATTTGGTAAGAGACTATTTGACAGCAATTTGAAAGTGAAATTAGGAGATCAAATTATACCTCAAGTGAAAAACTTTAGATATTTGGGAGTCATTATTCAAAATGATGGAGAAATCAGTGGGGATATTTCACATAAGATTCAAGCTAGGTGGTTTAATTGAAGAAAAGCTAAAGAGTTATTTGGGACCGTAAAATGCCTAATAAACTTAAAGGAAAGTTTTATCGTACTATTATCAGACTGGCAATGTTATATAGTAGTGAATGCTGGGCTCTAACGGGAAAGTAAGAGTATAAAGTTGGAGTAACAGAGATGAGAATGTTACAATGGATGTGCGAACATACACGTAAAGATAAAATTCGAAATGAGCACGTACGCAAAAAAGTGAGGGTAGCACCTATTGAGGAAAAAATGACAGAAAATTGGTTGAGATGTTTTGGGTATGTACAAAGAAGACCAAGGGAGGTACCAGTGAGAAGAGTGGAACATATAACTTTGAGTTCAATTAAGAGGGGTAGAGGAAGGCCTAAGAGAGCACTTTTGGAAGTTGTTGAACGTGATCTCTTAATTAATAATATTCCTAAAAACTTGATAAATGATAGAGTATAATGACGTCTTGCAATCCATGTAGCCGACCCCACCTAGTAGGATAAAGGTTTGTTGTTGTTGTTGGTTAAGATTCCCACCAACTACCATGTGTACACTTTTCTAGGAGTCAAACCATCCAGCCATAAATTTTAACCTAAAAAGTTCATTCATTACAAGATCAATAGAGGACAACAATCGCATGTGCAAGAAAGATTATAAGCATTCTCAAAAGCAAATAAGATGAAGGTAACAGTGCAGGATACAAGTTTTATTCAGCTTAGTTACCTCCCATCAAACATGTAAGCCAATGCCAATGCAGCCATGAAACGAGCCATCTTTGATAATGATGATGAACAGAGATCAACAAGAGCAGAAACTCCTCCTTCCTCGACAATACGTAGAGCATTACCAGGGTTAAAAGCAAGATTCCATAGTGCTCCAGCGGCAGTCTCGTGAACATCCTGAAGGCAGAAAATAGGATGGGATCATGTCACAAATTCACTTGTATAAAGAAAGATGTTAAAAGGACACAATCGAAATTTATATCATTGATTCATGTGAGGTAAAAAAATCCTTATAAAACATGTATGAAGGGGGCACAACTCGTACACAAAAGGGCTAAAAGCTTTAACCATCAGTCACCTTCTTAAAACAAAAGAATGACATCATTACAATAGTCTAGCACCACATATCAGTTATAGTAGTTCAACGTGGTGCCAGAGCATGTTCCACAATAAATGTAGTCTGTATATGCATATCATTAGTATCTTAAAAACGATAAAGCTTTTGAAGCATAATTTAACACCATTGCGTATTGAAGCAACCGAAAAGGAGAAATGACTCGAGGGAACAAACGTAATTAGGGGAAAAACTGCTAAGCAACTTAGGAGACTTGATAATAATGAATCACTCCTAGAATAAGCAAATCCATGCTACAATACAGGAAACTATTTTAGCATTACAATGAAGTTGCACATCATAGATAAATATATTCCTAGATATTAACCAAACAAGAAAATGAATTACCTCAGCTTCAGATCGTGCCAGTGCAATCAGGGGTGCAACACCTCCTTCTTGTCCAATAGCAATGCTGAGAAAACAAAATAAGATCCATGAACAAATGAGTAAATTGAGAGTAGAAATTAAAATTACATTATGAAAATAGTCTCAAATATAATCAAATTCAAACTGTATGTACAAGTATCCGATGATATGAGGATATGGCAAATTTTCAAAATTTTAGAATACGGTTACGGGGATATTTATAATATATATTTTAATATTTTATGATATAATACATGTATTTTGATTTTTAAATAAAAATTTCTAAAGTAATATAACAATATTTATAGTAATTAACTAAAAAAGTGTTTTTTTCAAGTTTTTAAGTGATATAGTAAAAAATTATTGAAAAAAAAAAACATCACAAATGTTAGAATGAGATACGTATGTAAAAGTATTCTACAAGTATTGTATCAGATACAGACACATTTACTTTTTTGAAGTATTCGTGCTTCATAATAGTTAATGAGAACAAATCCAGTTAATGAACTTATGTAAGAATAATAGTTAAAAAAAAAATCAAATTAAATAAAGCATCATGTGATCAACTTCCAACCCTATACTAGACAGGGAATAAGACCAAAGAAGAGATCAAGTTTTATTTTTTTATCTATTTCCTAGTTGGGAAGACTCATTAGTTTGAGAGTATTTATAATGCCTTAAACTTATTTTTGAAGATAAACTGAGCAAAACTGAATATATTCCATTCGGTGGGTGCGTCGATTACATATATACAGAGGAGAGTCCATAATGCCAACCGAGAAATAAGGCCAAGGAATAAGGGATAGAGAGAATAAAATAAAAAACTTCCCTAATGTATTTGATCCTATAATCATATAATAACTAAGAGAATAACTATCAGATATTTACATTAAATATAGTATATTTCCACACTCCCCCTCAAGTTGGACCATAGATGCTAATCATGTCCAACTCACTGATAAAATAATCAAACTTATCTCTACTCAAGCCTTTGGTGAGAACATCAGCTGTTTGCTCCCTTATTAATATGTGTCTCATCTGGATGATGCCAGTATCAATCTTCTCTCTGATAAAATGTCTATCTATCTCAACATGCTTGGTCCTATCATGTTGGACTGGGTTGTGTGAGACGCTGATTGCTGCCATACTATCTGAGTACAGAGTGATAGGCAAGTTAACATTCTTTTTTAGTTCCTCAATCACCCTTTTTAGCCATATACCTTCACAAATTCCTAAAGCAATAGCCCGAAATTCTATCTCTGCACTATTATGGGCCACTACACTTTGCTTCTTGCTTCTCCAAGTAACCAAGTTTGCCCAAACAAAAATGCAATATCCAGATGTAGATTTTCTATCCTCTTGATCAGCTATCCTACATGCATCTGCGTAGATTTTTACACCTCGCTTCTCAGATTTCTTTAAACCATAAACCCTTACCAGGAGTACCTTTCAAATACTTGAAAATCCTGTAAACCTCATTCAAGTGTTTCTGCTGAGGATATGTGAATGTTGACTCACCGTGCTAACTGTAAAGGCAATATCTGGCCTAGTATGTGACAAATAAATTAATTTTCCCACCATGCGCTGATACCTGCCCATATCAACAGACTTGCCAAGGTCATCTTCATTGCTTATCTTGTCAACTCGGATGGGTGTATCACTAGGTCTACATCCAAGCATGCCAGTCTCGTTTAAGAGATCTAGCACATATTTTCTCTGAGAAATAGATATTCCCTTCTTGGATCTTGCCACCTCCATACCTAGGAAATACTTCATTTCTCCAACATCTTTTATCTGAAATTCTTGAGCTAGTGCCTTTTTAAGGTTTTCAATCTCCTCAATATATAGCCTGTAAGGACCATATCATCCACATAAACCAACAAAACAATAATTTTAGTGCCTTAATGTTTAAAAAATATCGTGTGATCGCTTTGACCTAGTTTGAACCTTGCCCATTTTAGTACCTGTGTGAGTCTCTCAAACCATGCTCTTGGACACTGCTTTAGTCCATACAAAGACTTCTTCAATTTGCAAGCATGATTTGGTTTATTTCTTGAGAACCCTGACGGCAACTTCATATCCACTTCCTCTTTCAACTCACCATTTAAGAAGGCATTTTTTACATCTAATTCATGTAATGGCCAATCAAGGTTGGCTGCTAGTGATAGAATTATTCTAACAGTGTTGAGTTTGGCTACCGGTGCGAATGTCTCCGTGTAGTTTATACCATACACTTAGGAGAACCCTTGAGCAATAAGTCTTCCTTTGTGTTTGTTTAGACTACTATCAGCATTGTATTTAGGTGTAAAGACTCACTTACATCCAACCGCTTTCTTTCCTGGGGGTAATTCTACGACATCCCAAGTATCGTTGTTTGTCAATGCCTCCATTTCCTCCATTATAGCTTGCCTCCATTCAGGTACGGCCATGGCCTCTTCAATATTCTTTGATACTGTAACACTATCCAAATGGGCAATAAATCCAGAAAATTTAGCAGACAATGCTTGATAAGATACAAACCTCTGGATAGGATGCCTAGTACAGGCTCTCGGCTTCTTCCTTATAGCTATAGGTAGGTCAATATTATCATTACCACCTGATTCTTCCAGACTTCCTCCACTATCTTCTTTTGGACCTACATTTGGTTCTGACTCTTGATCAGTGCTTGAGATATGGGTCTGTTTACCTGTCTCATTTTTTCGTGTATAGGTATGTGCAAATCTGATGTCTCCCCTTGTTGTGGACGTCTCCTTGGGACTAGGATTTGGTACATCACTTTCAGCTTGAGTGGTGGTATTGGTGTTTTCAATTCCTAGGTCCAAATCAAGATTAGCAAGTTCAAGGGACAAATGATGAGGTATAGCTATAGGGTTAGGTGTTTCAGGTGTTTCACTCGTGTTCTTGCACATGTCAATCTGCAATTCATTCCAATTCTCCCCCTGGATTGGAGATTGTGACTAGAAGGATTATGTTTCGTGAAAGGTGACATCACAAGTGGTAAAGATACGTTTGGTAGTAGGATCAAAGCACTTGTACCCTTTTTTAGTGGCAAAGTAACCTGGGAAAATGCATCGGACAGCTTTGGGGTCAAGTTTGTTTGTGTGAAGATGAACATAGGTAGTACACCCAAATACTCGTAAGGGTAAAGTACTTTTCACGTAGGGTAGATTGTAAGTTTGGTGTAGAACTTCAATGGGAGTTTTATATGACAGGGTGTGGTTAGGAAGGCGATTAATAAGGAAGGTTGCAGTTAGGACAGCATCATCCCAGTGATATTTAGGAACATGGCTGCCAAAGAGAAGTGCACGGGCTGTTTCAAGGATGTGCTTGTTTTTTCTTTCAGCAATACCATTCTACTGAGGGCTGTGTGGACAGGTGCTTTTGTGAACAATTCATTGGAAAGTAAAAAAGTGGAGAGATGTTTATTGAAATATTCTGTGCCATTATCAGTGTGGAGTGTTTGAACAAACATGTGAAATTGAGTTTTGACCATATGATAGAAATCAATGAACACCTGTGAAACATCAGATTTGTCCTTTAGAAAGAACACCCAAGTAACACGAGAATGGTCAACAATAAAAGTAATAAACCACTTTGAGTGAGTTTTATTAGGAACTCGAGAGGGCCCCCATAGATCACTATGGATGATTGTAAAAGGTTTTGATGCAATGTATGGCTGATTAGGAAAAGAAGCATGACGATGTTTTGCTTTTTCACAAGAATCATAATAGAACTGAGAACAATCTTTTATTGCAAATTGAGGGAAACATCTTTGACATATAATTGAAAACCTCAATAAAATCTTGCAGCTGCCAAAGATGTTAGTTAGCCACATCTCCACTCATAAGCCCCATTTAGTACGAGGTATTGAATTTTAAAGGACTAGGAATGAGATTGGGAGTGGGAATAAATTTCAAAATGATGTCTGATATGTCATGGAATTAAAAAAAAAAAAATGAAACTCAACAACAGCAATCTTTATCCCACTAGGTGAGGTTGACTACATGGATTGCATGACGTCATTGTGCTCTATCATCTATCAAACTTTTAAGAATGTTGTTATTTAAGAGGTCTCGATCAACAACTTCCATAAATGTTCTTATTGGCCTTCCTCTAACTTCTTAACAGGGCTCAAAATTATCCATTCCAAATATGAAACTCATTAAACAAAAATTTGCAAAAGAAGACAATTGATGTCATCTTCTACCTTTCACCCTTTTTGAACCTAGAAAATTAAACCCCTTAAATCTTCAACATATCCCCAAACCCTATAAATGCTCATTTACTTGAATCTTCGATGCATACCCTAACCTAGAAAACTCATGAATGTTTCTCATCTTTGTACAAGTACCCGAGATCCACCCAAACCAGATCCTCCGTGAGTCTCCCCTTACTTCTACTATTGCTGAGAACAAAGAAGAAATCCCCCTGCTTCTTCCTTGACTTGCAGAATCACCCCTTTTGACTTGCGAAGAAGAATCTCCAGCACTCTCTTGGCAGATTCTCTTGAAGAGAAACCTGCAGAATCTTGGCCACCAATGCCTTGACAAATGCCAATGCCTATAGTGGGGGAAGTGGGTTTTGGGGATGAGTTTAGATTAGGGAAAGACAATTGAAGAGGAAGTGGTGTGGCCGCAGAGAGACTGACAAAGAGGGAGGCAATGAATTTGGGGAGGAAGGAGAAGTGACAGCAGAGGGAAGGATGAGAGGGATGAGGTGAAGGGTAGTTAGGTAAAAAATCCAATTCCAAGACTAATTCTCCAATACTAGGGAAGTGGTGATATTGGGTAATCTCATGTAAGTTAGAATTGGAATGCTCATTATCATGTACCAAACATAAAAAGTTGGGATTATCCAATCCCAATCCCAGTCCCAACCTCCTAATTTGCCCACCAAACAAGGCCATAACCTTCCATTTTGCCGAAGAACCTTGTTAATTCAGTATCCTCTTTCTTACTAATAGCCAAATTAGATTTCCGTATCAAACTAATGAAAGAACCAGCTACAAACAAGAACTACGAATAAGTCTACAAACATTAATCTTTCTAGCCCTTGCAAGAGTGTTAGAGTGATGGCACCAATATAAGTTGTACAAAAGCCCAACAGAAGTCCACAGCTCTAAACAACAACAACAACAACAAGCCTTTATCCCACTAGGTGGGGTCGCCTACATGGATTGCAAGACGCCATTGTGCTCTATCATTTATCAAGCTTTTAGAAATATTAATTAAGAGATCGCGTTCAATAACTTCCAAGAGTGTTCTCTTAGGCCTTCCTTTACCTCTCTTAATCGGACTAACAAGAGAAAATAGGGAGGAAAGAAAATGAGAGGAGAGAAAATGGAGAAAAGAGAAAAGGGATGTAATTTTATCTTATCATGCTAGGCTGACCAAGAGAATACAAGGGAAAAGGAAAGTCGTTAATTTCTTATGGACAATAATAACCTTAGTATTTGTAGAAAATATTTAGATATAATAAAACTTAAAATTGATACATATTATTTATACAATTTTCATTATATATTATTAATGGAAAAAAATATTTTTCTGGACAAAAACTAATGAAATAAAAATATATTTATTGCAAATTACTTTATCTAATTTCAAATTTTATTTATAAAATTATTAAATGTATAATAATTTAAAAAAATTTAATTACAACCATATATAAGGATGAAAATTGAAGGAGGCAGGAGGCGGAAAAAGAAAAATATTCATGGATAAATTTGAAAGTATGTTTTCTCTCTAAAATCTCCCCATATTTGGAGGGAAAAGTTGAAAGGAAAAATGTATGAGTCCCACATGTTATTTACCCCTCAATTTCTTCTCCATCCCATTTTTCTTTCCTCTGCCAAATGGGGGAAAATGTAGTTTTCCTCCCTTATCTCTCTTGCCGTTCTCTTACCCCCACTTTTCACCCCACCAAGTAAAGCATTAGTGTCTAGCACTAAGATCCTGCATGCAATAATGTTTATTCCAAGCGGATAAGCATCTGACTAAATTTATGTACAAGTGGATGTATCAGTGTGATTATCAATAACGTACAAGAATTGGTCGAAACAGTAAAAACAGAACTGCAGCAGTGCACAAGTGCGAGTAAATAAAGATTGGGAGAGGTTCCAATGTCAGAAGCTGCCCTGGGCACCACACCCTTAGTCTCTCCAATTTCACCCTTTACATTTAATTGCTAAATGCAAAAGATCCTAACCAGACAACCAGTAAAAAGGGAGAAAGAAGAAGGAAAGAAGTAACACATGAACAAGTCTAAATATTCAATTACATGAAGACTTCAATAAACAAATAACTAACTTGAACTCCTATAGAAACAGGAAATCAAGTTATCACTGATCAAAAGGCAATAGGCAATGCTGATAATATATACAGCATCAATGGCGAACCATAACAGTAGATTTCCACAATTTTCACATTCTCTATGCGGTTCATGTTTGGGATTTCAATTTTAATATTCATTGAGGTAGAATTGTAAACATCAGATGTAGGGAAGCTGCATAGAAAAAGATTCCTAGACCCATCATTATTTTTCTCCAAAAAGAAGTTAGTAAAATGAAAAAATTAATGAAAATGACAAAAAATATTCCAAAACACTGAGAAATATTCCGAAACACTGAGAAAGATAAAAATAATGAGAACAGGTATCAAAGAAGATGCAAGGATACTAAAATGAATTATTTAAAACCCAAACAATAAAACAAAATCACTTAAAAGAGAATGTAATCTGTAATAAAAATCCAAAGAAATTTGTAATCAGTTAAAATCATGGCACAAAACAATTTGCAGTAGCACTTCAAAAATATGATAATAATAAATTGTCCAATAATCTTGATTCTCCTGAGCAAAATTTCCAGATAAATGAAGAATCTCACACTTACCTATTGGCTTCAGAAACTGACAATCCCCAGAGAGCACCGGCAGCTCTCTCTTGAAGTCCAGGGGAGGCATTAGAACAAGATTGTGCAAGAGCAACCTACATATATCACAATGTCAAAAGCTTCAACAAATTAAAACCTTTATGCTATGAAAGAATTGTGGAATTTTCAGAGAGGAAAAATTGTATCATCTCATTCATTTTCTAATATACAAACTAGTCCTATATATACACATCAAAAGAGATAAAAACTAATAAATACTAATAAAGCCTAATTAATGATCCTAATAAATGCTAATTATTTACAATAATGACATAATATTCCCACACTCCTCCTCGAGTTGGATCATAAATGCTAATCATGTCCAACTTGCTTATGCAACTCTCAAATGCAGGCTTAGGTAGTCCCTTGGCTAGCACATCTACAGCTTGTAACTTTGTAGGTAGGGATGTCGACATACAATGCCTCCTACTTTCTCTTTGATAAAATGTCTATCTACTTCAACATGTTTAGATCTCTCATGCTGTACAAGATTCAATGCCATGCTTATAGCAGCCTTGTTATCACAATACAATTTCATTAGTGGATCAACTCTAACTTGTATTTCTTCCATGACCCTTCTTCTTCTATAATTCCTTGAGCTAATGCTCTCAATTCTGATTCAGCATTGCTTTTGGATACAACTCTTTGCTTTTGACCTTTCTAGGTCACTGAGTTTCCCCACACAAATGAACAATAGCCAGAGGTGAATCTTCTGTCTCCATAGGTTCCCCCTAGTCTGCATCTATGTAAATTTCAATTGTCCTTTGATCATGCTTCTTGAATAACAATCCCTTACCTTTAAGGTATCTGAGAATCCTGTATATAGCTTCGAGGTGTCTCTTCCTTGGATCACACATGTATTGACTCACTACATTGACAACAAAAGCAATATCTGGCCTTGTATCGAATAGATAAATCAGCTTCCCAACCAATCTCTAATATCTGTCTTTACCAATGGTTTCTTCTTTCTCCTTGTCTTCTTCTTCTTCAACTTTGTTGTCAGAGTTGTCTTCTCCTTCTGACTCCTCAGTGCTGCTTTTCTCAGGTGGCTTCTTTTTTGATACCACAATAGGAGTTTCCTTAGGTTTACAACCTAACATGCTAGTTTCCCAAAGAAGATCAAGTATATACTTCCTCTAAGATATATATATGCCTTGTTTTGACCTAGAAACTTCCATCCTGAGAAAATATTTCAAGTTTCTAAGATTCTTAACTTCAAATTCCTTACCAAGGACAGTTTTTGTCCTTGCTATTTTGTAAACATGATCTCCTGTAAAGATTATATTATCAACATACACAATGAGCATGCACTTCTTAGCTCCCTTAGCTTTAACAAACATCATATGATCTGACAATCCTTGCTTGTAGCTTTCTAACTTCAAGACCATTGAGAATCTGTCAAACCATGCCTTAAGTGACTGTTTCAAGCCATACAGTGATTTTTTTAGTCGACATACTTTGCCATTTCTACCTCTATCAAACTCAGGAGGTAAAGTCATGTAGACTTCCTCCTTCAATTCTCCATTTAGAAAAGCATTTTTGATATCTAGTTGATGAAGATGCCATTCAAGGTTGGCCACTGACAATAGAATTCTGATAGTGTTTAGTTTTGCCATTGGTGTAAACGTCTCTTTGTAGTCTATGCCATAAGTCTGGGTGAAACCTCTTACTACTAACCGTGCTTTCAACTTGTCATGTGTGCTATTAGCTTTATACTTTAGGGTAAAGACCCACTTGCAACTAACCAATTTCTTACCTCTAGGTCTTTCAACAATCTCCCATGTTCCATTTTTCTCCAAAGCTCTCATTTCCTCCATCACTGCATTTCTCTATTCGGGTATTTCCAGTGCCTCTTGGATGTTGTTTGGAATAATAACTTTATCCAAATTAGGGATGAAGGCCCAGTAACTAGGAGAGAGAGCCTTGTAGGATACATGCTTCTGAATTGGATGCAAAGTACAAGACTGAGGTTGTTTCCGAAGGGCAATAGGTAGATCAAAATCAATAGATTCACTTCTTTGTTCTGAGTCATCTGGCTCACTAGATGGATCAATCTTTGGTACATCAGCTTTAAGGACTACCTCTGGTTCTGACTCTCTTAGTGCCTCAGGTACAAGTTGCTCACTATCTTTTGTTTTCTTCTTTCAAGTGTAAACTAACAACTCTCCCTTTTGTGGTCTTTACACATCTTCCTCTGTTTTCTTGTTTCCCTTAAACTTTGGCATAAGAGAAGGGGTTGGTGAAGGGGAGATGTTGGACAGAGGTAAGGGTGATGGTTTTGGTAAAGGAGATAAGGACTCAAGAAGTACATATTCAATGTTAGGTTCTGGTTTTCAAGTCTGAGATTCACCTATATTCTCCCTATGAATTGAGGAATTGGAATAAAAAGGAGCTTCTTCATGGAATGTAACATCAAGGTTTACAAGGATGCGTTTAGAAACAGGATCAAAACATTTATATTCTCTTTAAGTAGGAGAATAGCCAAAGAAGATACACTTGATAGCTCGAGGTTCAAGTTTATTACTTTGATGGATATGAACAAAGGTTGTGCACCCAAACACATGAAGCGGAAGTTTGATTTCAATGTAGGATGTAGAAAAAACACTCTGCAATTTTTGGAGAGGAGTTTCAAAGGCTAATATTCGACTGGGCATTCGGTTGATGAGATAGGTTGCGATTAAAATGGCATCCCCCAATAAAACTTTGGCATATTGCAAGTGAACATAAGTGTTCTTGCAACTTCAAGGATATCTCTATTTTTCCTTTCTGCGGCCCCATTTTGTTGGGGTGTACGGGCACATGTACTGGTATGGACAATACCATGCATCTGGAAAAAACTACTTAAAGATTAGTTGAAGTATTCAATACCATTGTCAGTATATAAAACTCAAATGCTAGTATTGAACTGGTTTCTGATCATGATGAAAAAACTCATGAATGTGGATGCAGCCTCAGACTTGTTTTTCAAAAGGTAAACCCAACAAACACAAGTATGGTCATCAATGAAAGAGATGAACCATTTTGTTTAAGTACGGTTTGAAATGCGAGATGGTCCTCACAAATCACTGTAGATGGTTGTGGAAGGTTTGGTAGGTGTATATTTGGCTCTAGGAAAGGAAGTTTGATGGTGTTTGGCAAATTCACACACCTCACATTGGATTTGACTATGATTCAAGGTCAGGCATCAGGTTGGAAACAATCGCGAAAGATAATGAAAATTAAGGTGACCCATTCTCTCATGCCATAACATAAAATCATGAACTTTAGAGGTAGATGCAGAATTACCAACAATAGGTAGGTTATCCACTCGAGTGATGACTTCTAAATAGAAAGCCTCTCATATTCTTTGGCACTGCCGATTATCGCACCAAATGATAGATCCTAAAACACACAATGTGGCGAAAGAAATTTAGCAAAACAATTTGAGTGCTTGGTCAGTTGACTGATTGAAAGTAAATTACAGTCAAGTTTTGGCACGTGAAGGATAGATTCCAAAATAATAGAATTTGATATACAGATACTCCCTTTTCCTACCACCAGTGCTAAGGAGCCAACTGCAATTTTCACTTTAACATTTTCAGCACATGGGGTGCAAGTGGTGAACAATTGATGGCAATTAGTCATATGATCAGATGCCCTGAAATCCACAATCTAGACCATTGCACTTCGAGTCATCTTTAAAGCATGAAGAAAAGACACTCTTTTTGCCACTAATGCCATGGGTGCAGGTCTGAAATTATACACAACACTGCATAAAAGTAGCCACAGCACCACTCCTAGCACTTTAAATGAGGGAAAGGCTTTCTGGTAGACTGAAATCAGAAGTCACAACCCAATATAACTCTAAATCCAGCAAAACAGGGCACTAACAACACCATACAACCTAATATGGTTTGAAAACGATGTACCCATACATTACATTGTGCTAGATATGGCTGGAGAGAGTACGTCGTCGCCGTCCGAGAAGATCGCGTCCTAAACGGACATGCCGCCGTAAGCTTGCTAACGCAGTGAGCAGGGGTGGCGCGTATGGTCCACACGCACCGCTGTTCGCTGTTGCCGTCTTGGGTTTCATCGTTCAGAGCCTCTTAAGTACATCCAGGGTGGCAATGAGATTCAAAACTTACTCCACCATTGTCCACACAAACGACCTTACATACTGTTCAGAAAGTCTCATTCTAGCCATTCCAAAACTAACCTAATTTGAATTTTTAAGCCTGATGCTCTAATACCATGTGGAATATTCAGAGAGGAAAAATTGTATTATCTCATTCATTTTCTAATGTACAAACTGGTCCTATATATACACATCAAGAGAGATAAAAATTGATAAATACTAATAAAGCCTAATTAATGATCCTAATAAATGCTAATTATTTACAATAATGACATAATATTCCCACAAGAATGATAGTGTTGATTAAATTCATTTATGATGCATATTGTGGAATTTGGGAGAAAATAATATTTCTTATTGATCAATACTGACTGCTGAGATACAAACTAATTATATATTTAACCAAGGGAATAAACACTAATAATTACTGATAATTCCTAATAAATACTATAAAAGGCTATACACTAAGAGATAATATTTATAATAAATATTAAATTGTTATGATTTTAGAATAATGACAGCAATTAGTTTTATTAGTTATTGGGTTATGCCTTGATTTAGAATGTATAGCCATTAGTGGCCATTGGGTATGATTCCTATTCCTATAAATACCCTATAATTTCAATTTGTAAACTCTATGATTGATCAATGATAAGCCTACACTATTCAGCATCTCCTCTCCTCTATCTCTCTCTAATCCCTTTCAATTCCTCTCTGTCTCTCTCTTACCTGCTTTGTTCTTCCCTCAATTTTCTCTATTCTTCCCAAATTTCTCTATCAGTCAGAATTATTTTTACATAGCATAAATATTCCCACACTTCCCCTCAAGTTGGATCATAGACGCTAATTATCTCCAACTTGCTCATGCAATTCTCAAATGCAAGTCCAAGTAACCCTTCGGTCAAAACTACTTGCAACTTTGTAGGTACATATGTCAAA